TCCTAAACGAATGTAATCAGACTTCACAGCTTATTCATGCAATACACCATTACTACCCTTACACGAGAATCCCCTAACTACAACCAAATTCATGTATGTTAGATATATCCCAGAACCAGAATTAGCATTAAGGCAAGCATTTAAAACTTTGGTATTATAATATATTGTTTAAATGCAATAAAGTGTGTATTTTCATTAAAACCTTTTGCCCTCTTTATTTTATATAGGCTTACCCGAATGTCGGTTTTGGCACGACACAACCGACTAATTTCATTCTCTGCCTTTGTCCCTGACTACAAATATATATATATGTGTGACTAATACACATGTTAATATGCATGATATTTGTTTATATCTATCACATCAATTACAACTTCTATCAGTACATTGTGTTAGCAGGCTTGCTAGCAAAATGTATACATTGGAACAAAAACATATTTTATAAAGAGGTCTTTCTCTCACCTGTTAGTCAGCTCATCGGCATTGACTCCTGTGCTGAAGAAATGAGTTACAGGGAGAGCAGGAGACTCAGACGAAGATGCATCTTCACCTTTTGTGTTTCTTATCACCTCTTTATTGTATTATTATATCTTATCCCCTTTTTCCATTTTGTGTGTCTTACACCCCCCTTGTGTGGCCCTTACCCTTTGGGTATCTCTTACTTCCTCCCAGACCCTCTGTATCTTTCCCTATCCCCTTGTGTGTCTTTATCTCCAAGGCCCTCTTCAGTGTCTCTTAGCCCCATCACTTTTTTTTATCTGTCTCCCCTTTCCCAGCTCTTCTTTTTCCCACAGCCCCTCTGTGTGTCTCATTCTTCCCTTCCCTAGACCCTCTGTGTCTCTAGTTCCCCTTTCCCATCCAATTTATGTGTCTCTTTCTCCCCAACCCCTCTATGTGTTATCTTTCTTCCCCAGACCTTCTGTGTGTCTCTTTCTCTCCTCAAGTCACTTTGTGTGTCTCTTTCTCCCCCAAACCCTTTTGTGTCTTTCCCCCTCATTTATGTGTCTTTTTTCCCCAGCCGTTCTGTGTGTCTTTCTCCAATACAGCCCATTTTGTTTGTCTCTTTCTTCCCCATAGCCCCTCTGTGTGTCTCTTTCTCCCCCAGACCCTGCGTGTGTCTCTTCCCCACAGTCCCTCTGTGTGTCACTCCTTTTAGCCCCTCTGTGTGTCTCCTACCCTACAACCCTGTCTCTTTCTCCCTCTCACAGCCCCACTGTGTGTCTCATTTACCCCCAGCACTTCTATGTGTCTCTCCTCTATCCCCCTCATATTGTAGTATCTCATCCCCCATGCCTGTTGGCCTCCCTTCATTTAGTGTGGTCGGGCAGACCTAGGTGGAGGATCTTCTGTATCCTCTATTTGGGCTGGCAGTGCTATGCACTCCTCTCCTTCCAGTCATCCGCCACCTATGGCGCCTTATGGTTGCATTGCCATGAAAGTATGCAGGCTTACTGGGAAATGTTCCGGTATCCCGGTGGGTCAGTCTGGCCCTGCTTCACACCTCCCTTTGGCCAATTCACCTTAAAATCAGAGGTTCACTGGGATATCCGTTCATACCCTGGTACCAGTTGCTTGCAAATGCACAAAATATTAAAAAGCAGTGCTGCAGGGATACTTCAACGTAATCTCAAGCTTTGATCTGCAGTAAGTCTCCCTCAACAGTTTTCTTATACCTTCATAAGGTATTTAACTAGTTGCCAGCCCAGACACTGCATTAATCACTTGCTGCCTTGTTGTACTCATTGTTACAGAATTAATGGAGGTATAAGATAACTTTTGAGAGAGATTCATGGCACTTTGTGCAATAAAACAGATGGCTGCTAAAAACTTGCACTGAGAACACTTTGAATCTGCTGTCCTATTTCAAAGCCTTACCTACCCGGCACACAAGTATTTTCTTAGATGGGAATGTAAGGGATTTGGAAAATGATATTCCAAAGCAGAATCACTACCAACCCCCACCTCCCACACACACTTCTTCACTCACTTTACAAATATAGACATGTGTAACTATTGTCACATTCACGTTTGCACCAATTTTGTACAAATATGCCACATTCTTATGTATAAAACTGTTACTCCACCTTTAGACATAGAGGATCTGTAGGTCATGCCTGTCAAACCTATACATGCTAGTTCACCACTGTGACTAGACTGTCTCCAGGCTTAACTACATACTCATACAGAGCAGTGACACCATCGCTCCCCCCCATGCAGTGTCTGTGAATCAGGCAGAGGGAGACTGTAGCCCATGAAGCAGCGCAGCTAAGGGGAATGGATCTTAACATTGCTAGGAGACAGGAATAGAAGGTGTGTAGTGTTGGGGACTGGCTAGAGAAAATTAGGGGTGGGATTTTGGCTATAAGAATATATATATTGGCCATTTTAGATCAGGGGCCATGCAAGGTGTGTATATAGTGGATGAAGTATGTGTGTGTTTATAGTGAATGCAATGTGTGTATAGTGAATTAAAGTTGTAGTGGATGCAAAGTGTGTGTATATGTGTATGTGTACAGTGGATGCAGTGTGTGTATAGTG